GCACAACTCGAATCTATATACTTTTGGTATTTTTGGCTGTCAGTGTTCCAATCCTGATTTTCTTGATAATTCCACCCCTACCACTTGCAGTCCATATGCTTCCAGGGAAGTCAACTTTCTCTTCATTCCTGGTTTTCTGGGTCAGCTGTGTCTCATGCCTAACTAATGAACGTGGTCTCTTCCTCTTTGGCCAGGATGACTTATTTGAAAATGGTTATTTAACCCAAGATGGCCCTATCAGAGCAAACCTGGAATTCTCAGATGGTTGTAGGAGGAGAGGTGCACTTTTCCACTGCATAGAGACAAGAGTGTATGTGGCCCCCATATGAGGATCACAGAGGTATTTTTCTCAGAATGAAGCCAAATTTGATAACTCAGTACTGAGGAGAGACTGTGACTTTGTCTTGATCACACTGTTTTGAGATCAAGCCTTATTTGAAAACATGATGTACTGTTTTTTTATTAAAGACAGCTTAACCTGGGTTTTCTATTATCTGTTCTGTTATTTGCAATGGATAGCATATTATACACAAACATTTCCTCAACAATTTCTTGAAGAGATGTGGATCATCTGAATTGAAGTGCTGAATGCTACCAAGTTACATAAAACACTTTCAAAAGCAAATGCTCAGGGATAGGATATGAAACGCATGCCTTAAAAAAGCGTGTGTGGAAAAAAACTACACCTAAGTAGGTAGTAAGTGAATATTATTTTGCCTAAATTAATATACATATAATCCCTAGAAAAGAAAGACAAGGGATCATTCTACCAGAATCCTAAAGCCTCACTTTAGGTATGAAGTTAAACCCAGGCAAAGGATAAGGACAATTTGGAGAGAATTCAAAATAACCATAATGAGGAAGAGATTTCAATATGTCTTATGAGTGTGGGTGGAAGAAAACTGCATGTTTAACTTAAATGGACGTTTCAGGGGACACATGGCAATAGTCTTCAATTACTTTAAGATATATGTAGTAGACATTTGTTTTTGGCTATTCAGCATTACTTGACTTCCAACAATAGCCATATGTATTTGATTTATTTGTCCCTTCAAATTTATCTGAAATTAGTGCAGTCCCTGGACTATTAAATTACATCGGCCACTATATTCTCATTTTTGCTTAGGTCATTTTAGCTGAGTTTTCTGATTTGCAATCAAGAGTTTTTGGGGTTTTTTTGTTTTTTTTGCAATCAAGTTTTAACTAATGCAAAATGTCACCTCTAGGAAGGCTTAGATCTTTGAGGTCCCTATAGACCAAAATGTGTAGACTACAGGCTAGATGTCTTCCGTTAAATGGAAGAAACAAATTTCAAAGAATAACGACTATCTGAAGATGAAATTATCATTTAGGAAGATAATTCAGTATTCAAATTTTGATAATTAATAAAGGTGAAGTTTGAGGTCTTTTTTTTTTAAAATAAGAGTCTATGCTATACTACAAAGCCACAGTCATCAAGACAGTATGGTACTGGCACAAAGACAGAAATATAGATCAATGGAACAGAATGGAAAGCCCAGAGATAAATCCACGAACCTATGGTCACCTTATCTTTGACAAAGGAGGCAAGGATATACAATGGAAAAAAGACAACCTCTTTAACAAGTGGTGCTGGGAAAACTGGTCAACCACCTGTAAAAGAATGAAATTAGAACACTTTCTAACACCATACACAAAAATAAACTGAAAATGGATTAAAGATCTAAATGTAAGACCAGAAACTATAAAACTCCTAGAGGAGAACATAGGCAAAACACTCTCCGACATAAATCACAGCAGGATCCTCTATGACCCACATCCCAGAATTTTAGAAACAAAAGCAAAAATAAACAAATGGGACCTAATGAAACTTAAAAGCTTTTGCACAACAAAGGAAACTATAAGCAAGGTGAAAAGACAGCCCTCAGATTGGGAGAAAATAATAGCAAATGAAGCAACAGACAAAGGATTAATCTCAAAAATATACAAGCAACTCCTGCAGCTCAATTCCAGAAAAATAAATGACCCAATCAAAAAATGGCCCAAAGAACTAAACAGACATTTCTCCAAGGAAGACATACGGATGGCAAAAAAACACATGAAAAGATGCTCAACATCACTCATTATTAGAGAAATGCAAATCAAAACCACAATGAGGTATCATTACACGCCAGTCAGGATGGCTGCTATCCAAAAGTCTATAAGCAATAAATGCTGGAGAGGGTGTGGAGAAAAGGGAACCCTCTTACACTGTTGGTGGGAATGCAAACTAGTACAGCCACTATGGAGAACAGTGTGGAGATTCCTTAAAAAGCTGGAAATAGAACTGCCATATGACCCAGCAATACCACTTCTAGGCATACACACTGAGGAAACCAGATCTGAAAGAGACACGTGCACCCCAATGTTCATCGCAGCACTGTTTATAATAGCCAGGACATGGAAGCAACCTAGATGCCCATCAGCAGACGAATGGATGAGGAAGCTGTGGTACATATACACCATGGAATATTACTCAGCCATTAAAAAGAATTCATTTGAATCAGTTCTAATGAGATGGATGAAACTGGAGCCCATTATACAGAGCGAAGTAAGCCAGAAAGATAAAGACCATTACAGTATACTAACACATATATATGTAATTTAGAAAGATGGTAACGATAACCCTATATGCAAAAAAAGAAAAAGAGACTCAGATGTATAGAACAGACTTGTGGACTCTGTGGGAGAAGGCGAGGGTGGGATGTTTCAAGAGAACAGCATTGAAACATGTATATCTAGGGTGAAACAGATCACCAGCCCAGGTTGGATGCATGAGACATGTGCTCGGGCCTGGTGCACTGGGAAGACCCAGAGGGATAGGGCGGAGAGGGAAGTGGGAGGGGGGACCGGGATGGGGAATACATGTAAACCCATGGCTAATTCATTTCAATGTATGACAAAAACCACTGCAATGTTGTAAAGTAATTAGCCTCCAACTAATAAAAATAAATGGGAAAAAAATAAATAAATAAATAAAATAAGAGTCTATGAAAGTATCTCTAAATACTTATAAATTTTAAGTAGGCAAGCACAATTATTGACAAAATTTAAAGCTAATTAATTTTAGATTAATAGAGTATTTTTCATATGATTTTATACTGATTTTACACTTTCTTAGTATGTTATGCTTCTTATATATTTCAAAATTTTTTATCTAGTGGATTTTAGTCACTTAATAGACCTAAAAGTCTAATGTTTAAATATAGAGGTTTATAGTTGTATCTTTGTTTTGATATCACAACTGTAATTTTATTGACTGTGAAGTCTCTACTTGGGAACACAGCCTTAATCATAGTATTATTCTCAATGGGAAAACTGACTTACTGCAAAATAAAACATTTGCTACAAATCAGGCCAAATACTTCTACTAATGGGTTAGGACTTCAGTCCTAAATTATTGAAATACATAAAATCATTCCTTGCCTATTCTTCCTTCCTGAATAAACAGATGAAAACAGCAAAATAAACAAAAACAACAGGGACGTAAGTAAAACAAACATTAAAAACTTTAATGAGATACACTGAAGTATTTAGGTATGTCTGAATATGCATAGAAAAAATATCTGGAAGGATACATATCAGATTATTAACAGTTAACCTTGGGCAGGTGGAACTGGGGTAGGGTGAAGGCAATGCTCTTACTTATAAATTCTGTATTTTGTGAAATTTTACAATGAGCATTTATTACTTTTATAATAATGAAAACCATAATAGAAATTTAAAAAATAAACATAGAAAAAGTAAAAAACACACACATATATACAGTAGTTTTAAGAGCTTCATTGGAGGTACAGAGAATTAAATCATATGGCACATTTTCCCACTAATACTGTGGTGGTAAATATAACTGCATACTTTTAGCAACATCTCGATTCAAAAAGTCCTCTGGGATAAGAGCCCTTAAGCAGTGACCCCTTCAAGGTGAATACTAAAGCTGAAAACAGGGTTTAACTGTTTCTAGAGGATCTACAGGAAAACATGTCAATCTGAAAACTTCAGACAAAAGGAAACGCTTCACAGAAGTAACTCTGGAACACTAAAACAGCTAACCAAAGGCCAGAAATGGTGTGTATGAGAACTCTACCCAGTTCAGACCCAAAACTAAATCACTGAAATCTTGGTAATCTAGGGAAACAGGTTAGGGGCATCTATTTTACCCATTTATTATTTCTCCCAAATTTTCAATTGGTCTGCTTTTTAACCTCAATGATTTTACCCTAAAAATACTGCAATTTTAATGGGAAGGAATTAAATTAATTCCATCTAATTAGCTTTAGGTTTATGCTTCCAGTTAAAACAACTAGAAAAAACTGAAACTAATGATTTTCCCATCCTTGTTTTTTTCTCATCACTATTTCTAGCTACTTGATGAACATTCTGGGAGTTAATACTTTGGATTTCTCAAGAGTCCTTGAAGTTCTCTATTTGGGAAGATCTTTTCTCTCATGTTCTAATTTTTCCTCCTTTTATTGAAGTCATCAGGGATGACAAACTTTTATTATTAATTTCTTTCAACAAAGAGGATTGTTTAGATAACTATTAGGCTCGTGGTTAAATATCCTCATCAAAGTCAGAACATCTGAAGTTTCCATCTTTGCAAGCTACAAGTTAAGTGCTTAACTGATATAATTTTGCACTCCTGAAAGAGTGCTCATGACTTAGGTGTCAAAAGTTTGTGTAGGATTAAACTTAGGCATAAATAATATGGAAAATTTGACAAAGCTTAATCAGAAAATAGAGAGAAAGGATATACAGTCATAATGACCATATGATTTTTAAAAGCTACAACAGCTGAAATTCTGCTGTTGTCTCAATGGAAAATTTTTAAAAAACAACAAAAGATTCATCATAATGCCAGGTACACAGTAACCATTCAATAAAAGTTAGGTCTAAATGAACAATGGATTAAAGCAATATACAAAAATATAAGAACCCAAAAAGGAAAGAAAAGCTTAGAACTAATTTCCTAGAGTGTGTACTTAAATGGAAAGTCGAAGCTCACAGAGAGCAGTAAGAAATTCTTCATTTTCTGGATCTATCTTTTGGGCCCTTTCATAGTACTCAGCTGCTTGCCTCTTTTCTCCCTCTAGCTTGTAAACAAACCCTAGGGCACTTAAACTCTGCAGATCTGAAGCATTGTACCCAAGTCTCTTAGTTGCCAATTTCTTCACAGCACTTGTCAGTTTAGGACGCAGAGATGACCTGTCTTTGACCTTTAAGGCTTCTAAATAATGGTGGATGGCAGTATTTTCTGATTTACGGTGAAATTCCTGAAAGCGGCCATAGTGGTAGTGGATCTGATGTTTGTGATCATCAGTTATGTTCTCCAGACGAAGAGCTTTCTGAAAAATGTCTTCAGCATTGCTATACTGGCCTCCCTCAGCATACATGTTGGCCAGGTCTGTGTAGGCAAATGCAAACATAGAGTCTCGCTCCACAGCTGCTTTGAAATGAGATATAGCCGAGGTAATCAGCTCATCAACTTTCAGTTTATCCTTTCCTTTAGGTCTGTTGCGAGTGGCCTTCTTGATTTGGATCATTTGTGCCCTATAGCAAAGTCCCATTTGGTGATGCAAGAAAGAAGAGGTTGGTGTCACCTCCAAGGCCTTTTTCAAAAGTTCTAGAGCTTTGTCCCAGGAATTTTTTCTCCTATAGAATTTGGCTGCATAACGAAGGACATAAGGTTGGGCTGATATCTGGTCCAGGATTTCTTCAATATACTTTTCCCCCTCAGCTTCTGCATGCACATCTTGAAGCTTCAGTGCGAGAAAAACCTTAATGTAGGAATTATCTGGGTTCAGGGTGACAGCTTTCCTCAGGGGGCCCAGAGAAAAGCTCTTTATAGACCCTTCTCTGTCGGAATCATCCAGCCGATACACTGTGATGGCATAGCCGATGTTAAATTCTGGATTGTCTGGTTCTGCTTCCAGAGCCTTCTCAAAAGCGGCTTTAGCCTTTTGGTAATACTTTCCTCCAAATTTCAGGAGTGCCCACCCTTTCTCACAGTCAATCTCTGGACACTCCAACTTGTAGTTAGAAGGACTGGACAACTTCTTGCAGACGTTCCCTATCTTGTCTATGTACTTCTGAGCTTCTTTAAGCTGACCCATGCAATAATAAACCCAAGCATAGTTTCCCCAAGTAACCAGACTTCGTACTTCTTCTTTGTCTGAGTGTTCTCGCTGTATAATTTCTTCTGCTTGTTTCAAGCACTCTAGAGCATCTTCATTTTGGCCCTTTAGGTGTTTCACATATGCCAATAGGTTATAAAGAGTGAGTCTGGATTTTGTGGTGAGAAATTCAAGCTGTTGCCCAATAGTATCTTCTACATCAAACAGATCAATGTCTTCCTTAAGTAAATTCCATGTGAAGTGACATTCTAACTCCAAAAGAATGGTCTTCAAGCAGTCCTTAGGAATTTCACTGTTAAAGATAAAAATACTTTTTAATTTCTGAAGAAATAAAGAAAATAATTAATTTTTGAATCTTAAATACAGTTCTTTGCTTAACAACCAATTTTATCTACTTGATTTTACAGTTAAAGCACTAGGCTTCTGTAAGTTTATACTAGGTTCCTCTGTGTATAGTTATGTTCTAGAAATATTCCATTAAATTCACAATATTTATTGCAAAACCAGTTATGGAGAGAACAGCGTTTTCTATCTTACAAGGTATCTATTTCCTTTAGGCATCCACTAAGCCACAAGGAACACTTGTTTTTAGAGAGGGGAATTTAAATTATTTTATTTACTAGCTTTGAAAATTAAGAATAAAAGATACACAGTTAATAAATAACATAAAAATTTCATTTCTGTATTATGAGTAGTGAAGGAAAAGAGAAGAAAGTGAGAAATAAGAAAAAGAAATACACTGAAGGAGACAGAGAAGCCACATGAATACATAATTTTTGCAGAGAAAGAAAGGGAACTCCACACAGAAAATAGCAGAGTCAGACAGGAACAGGTACACCAAGAGATGGGAAGAAGTATATGTTTGAGAAGTAACAAAGATTTGGAGAAAATGGGGTAAAGGCAAAAGGAGGCTTAGTAAGTTTTGATGTTAAATGCCACATCCTTCTGACCTTTAGGGTTGTGGGCAACAATAAAGGCTGTCACCCATTACTCCCCTTAATGTTCAAGTCACAAATATTTGCTCAACTCCCTTTGTGAAGCACAGTGTAATTTCTTCAGGGCCTAGTTTCATCTCTGAAACCAGGAAGATGAAGAGGAAGGAGGGGTTAGGAAATATTTACTCATTACTGATAGGCTTTTATGTGCAAGATCTTCTGAATAACCCTGGAGGTCTAACTGTGAGTAAGACACAGGCCTACTTATACAGAGCTTATAAGTACACAGCCAATTACAAATCAGCATTCCAATACAGTGCCATGGAAGTGACTCGGGAAAGGCACACAGTCCAGTGTTGCAGACATCTGTGGCTCTCATTTGGCGGAGCAATATCTCCCCCTCGTCTCAATCCATGTGATTTGAGACAGGCTGCCTACACTTCCTCCAGCATGTGTGAAGGCACACAATATTCAAGCCATTCCCTGGTCTCAGTGATTTATTCAGATTTATGCAATTAGAACATAATTTTGCTGAAATGGGGCTTTGCTGGAACTCTGTCTCTTCCAAAATTTTTAAGCTGGTAGAATGTAAGCTGGAGTTGCCGGTGGCCTCTTTCCAAACCCTGGGGACAGCCTGCCTAAGAAAGACTCAAACACAGAGGAAAGCAGAGCTCAGGGATGAAGACAGCTTGTGATGCTGACTAAATTCCTGAAACCAGGTATTGCCTGGATCACCCTGTCAATCCCTGCATTTCTACCTTTTTTAAGGAAATAATCTCTCTTTTCTTAAGCCAGTTTGAACTGGATTTCTCCTCTCTGAAGCTGACAAATTCCTGATTAATATACCTAATTTTGTTTGTTTTGCTTATGGCAGTGGTGAGGCAGTCAGGAAGACTTGCTAAATCCAGTATTGGGCATAATTAAGGGTCACAAGAAATTTACAGAACAAAGCTGCTTAAGGCTTCTCTTGAAGAAGGAAATGTTCTAATTATTGGATGAACAGTGTGTGTGTATTTATTTCCCTTTCTGCTGCACACAGGACCATTTTCCTTCTATGTATGTATGAATGCATATGAGAACTATAGTAATATTTCTATCAAGAAACATTTATCGATCATCTCATGTCATACATGCCAGGCAATATGCTAGTTGGAGTAGATATAGTAAGGAGCAAGATAGAATAAGACCTTTTCTTCATGGTAATTCCAGTATAGGAGAGGAAGGAACAATAGGGGTTGACAGAAAATAAACATGTAAACAAATCAATGAACAACATAATTCCAAATATTAAGAAGTGTTAAGAAAAAACTCAGAGTCATGCGATTATGTGGTGGTGTACTTTAGTACACTTTTCATTCTCTCACTCTGAGAACTCTTCCTAGGAGAGTACTGTGCTTATTGCTCAGAGGTGTCCGCCTCTTTGTGACTCTATGGACTTGTAGCCCGCCAGGCTCCTCTGTCATGGGGATTCTCCAGCTAAGAATACTGGAGTGGGTTGCCATGCCCTCCTCCAAGGGATCTTCTCAACCCAGGGATCGAACTCAGGTCTCTGGCACTGCAGGCAGATTCCTTACCATCTGAGCCCTAGGAAAGTAGAGGGCTTACTTATTCTCATAATTCTGATCTTGGCTCAAATCTCAGCTCTTCAAAGAAGTTGACCCCTGACCACCATAGCTTAAACTGCATCTCCACTTTGCCTGCCATCCTAAAGTCTAGTCTGTCACAATTTCCTATTCTTCATGGCACTTTTATCAATATTTTCTGGGAGCTGGGGAGGAGGGGGTGCAGGCTTTGAATCAAAATGAGATTGAGGTTTTAAAATGAATTGGGCTGAGTTTTAGGAACTGGAAAGAGGCTGCCCTAATAGCCAAAAGTGGCAGAAGAGTTAGAGAACTGGATTAATTAAGAGAATCAGTAGTAGTGATCAGAAAAATAAAACCACTTCATATTTATAATCTAATAGTATACTTCATGAAATGCTTCCCAATTTTCATAAATACTAAATTTAAACATTAATAGCTTACTTAATAATATATTTAGTAGAAATGTTCACTTACAATATTAATTTTATATATTTTTTTCTTATTCTCTTTATCATCTGTGTATACATATAAACACATATATACAGGTCCCACATTTTAGCAATTGCAGGTTCTAGACCAGAGCTTTCCAACAGAACTTCCTGCCAAGATGGAAATGTTCTTATCTATGCTGTACAGTATGGTAGCCACTAGCCACACATGACCACTGATCACTTGAAATGGTGGCTAGTACAACTATGAACTGAATTTTATACTTTTAATTAATTTAAATATTACATGACTAGTGGTTATTATATGTGACAGGACAGTTGAAGACACTGGGCCTACAGAGCTTAATGTACAAGAAAACTTTAGGCTTAACAGGTTAGACCTCTCCTTTAACTTGAAATTTTCCCCATTTTCCTCAAGGTGAAGAGCTAGATTAAATGGCAAACAGGGATATACTTGAGAAGAAAACCTTATGCATATCACCTAGACTCACTACAGATTCAACTCAATAGTACAAATGTTACACATGTAACATATACTTCCAGAATCAGAAGAGAGCACAAAAAAAACCAAACAAACCCAAAACATCCCCCCAAACCACTCACTTTCCACACTACCCAAGCCAGGCAGAGTGCCAAGCAATTTACACAAATTACGTTTATTTTTATTTTTTTTACATTTACTTTTATAACATCTTATTATTTTTACAATTTTATGGATGAGGACTGGGAAATAGAGTTTAAATTACATATCCAAGGTTATATAGCTATAAAGTGGTCAAGCACAAATTCAAAGTCATTTCTGACTAATTCAAACAAAAGCTTATGCCTTTTAACCAAAATGCTATATGACATCTTTCATATAAAAATTGGAGTTCTTTTTAAAGAATAATTTGCTTTAAAATACAGGCTATGTCTAATGTATGTAAAATTCACTTCGCCTGGAAAGGACTTAAAAGAAAAACATAGAGATTTTAGAGCAGCTTAAAGAGCGGGTAGAAGTTGTATAACTGCTCATTGAAAAAGACATGCCAGACAGTTAAAGTCTTGGGATAAGAAAACAATGATTTCAAATATAAGCCCTCAATCTGAAGTCACAACATTCTTCATTGTTGGAGTTATTTTGAGATGGAACTCACTAGAATATGCTGTGGAGTGACAGAGAGGATTGATTATTTCAAATAATAAAGGATCTGGGTAGAAATGTGTTAAAACTAATCTGAAGGAAGAATAAAAATCTTAGTTATCAAAGATATAATTATCTTTATTAAAGTAAGGAAATTAAAATATCTTTTTTCCCCATAAACCAGTTAAAGATATAGTATATGCTGATGATCTCCCAAGGTATGTCCACTATCTCTGCTTCCTTCTGAATTCCAGACTTCTAGTTAGTTTACATCTTCAATTAGAAGTTCAGTTGGGATCTCAAGTAAATATATTCATTACAGAAATCTGGGTTCCTTGAGTCTGTGCATACCTTTAGTTTTCCTCCACCTTTTTTTGGTACCTCTTAGCCCCACAGGCCAAATAACCTAGAAGTATGTGAACCATGAACTTCCAGATGTTCAAGCTGGTTTTAGAAAAGGCAGAGGAACCAGACATCAAATTGCCAACATCTGCTGGATCATCAAAAAAGCAAGAGAGTTCCAGAAAAACATCTATTTCTGCTTTATTGACTATGCCAAAGCCTTTGACTGTGTGGATCACAACAAACTGGAAAATTCTGAAAGAGATGGGAATACCAGACCACCTGACCAGCCTCTTGAGAAACATGTATGCAGATCAGGAAGCAACAGTTAGAACTGGACATGGAACAACAGACTGGTTCCAAATAGGAAAAGGAGTATGTCAAGGCTGTATATTGTCACCCTGCTTATTTAACTTATATGCAGAGTACATCATGTGAAACACTGGGCTGGATGAAGCACAAGCTGGAATCAAGATTGCCTGGAGAGATATCAATAACCTCAGATATGCAGATAACACCACCCTTATGGCAAAAAGTGAAGAAGAACTAAAGAGCTTCTTAATGAAAGTGAAAGAGGAGAGTAAAAAAATTAGCTTAAAGCTCAACATTCAGAAAACTAAGATAATGGCATCTGGTCCCATCACTTCATGGCAAATAGATGGGGAAACAGTGGAAACAGTGTCAGACTTTATTTTTTTAGGCTCCAAAATCACTGCAGATGGTGATTACAGCCATGAAATTAAAAGACACTTACTCCTTGGAAGGAAAGTTATGACCAACCTAGACAGCATATTAAAAAGCAGAGACATTACTTTGCCAACAAAGGTCCGTCTAGTCAAGGCTATGGTTTTTCCAGTGGTCATGAATGGATGTGAGAGCTGGACTGTGAAGAAAGCTGAGTGCCGAAAAATTGATGCTTTTGAACTGTGGTGTTGGAGAAGACTCTTGAGAGTCCCTTGGACTGCAAGGAGATCCAACCAGTCCATCCTAAAGGATATCAGTCCTGAATATTCATTGGAAGGACTGATGCTGAAGCTGAAACTCCAGTACTTTGGCCACCTCATGCAAAAAGTTGACTCATTGGAAAAGACCCTGATGCTGGGAGGGATTGGGGGCAGGAGGAGAAGGGGATGACGGAGGATGAGATGGCTGGATGGCATCACCGACTCGATGGGCATGAGTTTGAGTAAATTCCGGGAGTTGGTGATGGACAGGGAGGCCTGGCATGCTGCAATTCATGGGGTCGCAGAGTCGGACACAACTGAGTGACTGAACTGAACCGAATCTCTTGATTCCTCTTCTCTCAACCCCTCATTTAATCCAATGGGAAATTCTGTTAATTCTACCACCCAAATATATCAAATCCATCCACTTTACCCCCCCCCATTTCCACAGCAATTTTTCTAGTCTAAAAGACTATTACCTTTCCTTTGAACAGGGGTAACAAATCTGGTCTCCCTGTTTCCACTCTTGGTCCCCATATAATATTAGTAAACTATTGAAAATGTAAACTAGATTATGTCAGTCTCTTGGTTCAAAATCTCCCAATAGCTTTGAAACACCCTTAATCCAGCCTTTGCCACGTCTTACAAGTCCCTAAAGATGCTGGACCTGTGTACCCACCCAACCTTCTCTCCTCCTTCCTCCTTATTATCATGTTTTAGACATACTTCTTTCTATCTTGAACATATTCATTTCAAAGACTTTCACACTTGTTTTTACTCTACTTGAGAAGCTCTGCTTCCAAATCCTTATATGATTAGCTCCTTCCTTTAACTTGGCTCAAAAATCCTCTATCCCAGTGGCCATCTGTGGCAAAGGTATCTAAAATAACCCCCTCCATTCCTGGTCACTCTCTTAGCCCACTACACTCTTTTATTTTCCTTATAGCTCTTACCACCTTCTGAATTATGTTATTTATTCATTCATTTTTTGGTTATTTATGTTATTTACCCATTTATTTTTGGTTGTCTATTTCCCCCATTTAAATGAGAACAGGGACTTTATTCTGGTTTGATTTTTTTCACCCATGTGTCCCCAGAATCTATGATTTCAGAGGAGGTCAATAATAAGTACTTGCAGAGTGAATGAATGAATGCAGTTATATACTGATAGCTTCTGGCATTTTCAACCCAGAGGCATGAGCCTAGAATTTAAAAAAAAAAGCACCTGAATTTCAGATGAGGGAATTCCTGCTAGTTCTTTCCATCCTGCTACTGGTTCCAAACTTTCTGCCACTTCAGTCTTCCCTATCCTATTTGTTTTTCCATCCTGGCATACTGTCTGGCTCTCTGTTTAGATTTTGAAACTAGGTTCTGGACTAACGTCCTAAGGTCGTGACTGGGAAACACGGTATGACTATCCCTTGGTAGTTGATCCTTTCTCTGGTGTAAATGCACCAAAATCATAGGCAAGACATGCCACGCCCTTAACAGCCTGCTCAGACCCACGATATGGGCTTACCAGCCTCTGCCCACCCACAGAGTGAAATGAACATCTGCCTCTGCCCAAGATGGATGAGGAGGGAGGGCTGCCCAGGGATTGTCATATGGCTGTGAGATCTCTAGGGGACATTCAGTCAGCCATGTAAGTGCCTTGCCTAACTCTATGGGATTTATGCATAACCTGGCACTATGACAAATTTTACTTTTTCAGCTCTACTTACTTTTTTAACTTTGTCTCTGGGAAGCTGGCAGAGAGAGGCTATTGTGTCTGAAGAGGCAACACTTATCTTTAGGCAATTTTGTGTGTGTGGTGGGGAGTTGTTTTATTGTATTTGTTTATTTGCCAGGAAGGAGCAGTCTTTCATTTTCCTTGGTAGACAGTGCCCACTGGGGTTCACCCCTCTTTATCCCATCGACCACACTGGCAGGGCATCACCCGCCTTTTCCTCTCTATACCTCCCACGTCCCTCCTTTCTTACAAAGAGTAGAAGTAAGGCATTTATTAAACATTTTTAAACACAACAAAAGTCACCCTCTGCAAATATATGAACTGGGCATTAAGCAACAACCGTTTCCACAGTCCTAAGAGATGGATGCCATCACTTTTTACAGACAAGAAACAGCTTCACCGAGTTGAAGAAACTTTGCTGTGGGTCACCCAACTAGTAGGTGGTCCGAGTCAGGATTTAGAACAAAAGACTGTAAGGCCTGCAGGAGCCCACTATCTGAACCTCCTCAGGCCTCAGCTTCCTAAATGCAGACCGGTCACCATCCACGTGCAGGGTAGGGGACCAGATGAAAAGGGGTCAGCCAAGGACCCCCACCACAGGCCAGTCTCGGAAATGGAGAAAGAAAGCTCCACAAAACAGGGATGGGGTGGAGCCGGAACAATCTGTCCATGGTGCAAAGGAGGGGGAGAAGTCAGACCCAAGTATCAAAAAGGCAAAATGGCAGAAGCGGACGCGTGTGACGCGGGGGCTGCGGCCTGCGGGGACCTGCACCGCAGAAGCTCCTGCACCGCAGAAGCTCCCGCACCGGCCCGGGGGCTGCGGCGACCGGGGCCGCAGGGAAGTGACAAGTCCCCGGGGCGCGTCGCCCTGCCCCCCCCCCCCCACCCCGCCTCCCGACTCGGCCCGAGAGTCCGACTGCGGATGCCTGGGACTTGCCGGAAGGGTCCACTCGGCCACCCTCCCCGGCAGGCCCACCTTCAGCCGCCCCGGACCCTGACCGGGCTCCCAGGAGGGGAGTGTCCCCAACGCCGACGCCTGGCGGCCGGGCTCTGGGGCTCGGCCCTTTCAAGGGCCGCAGCACTACCCTGCAAACGGAACCCGAGAGAAAGGCGTGTAAAACAAAGGCCACAGGGAATTGGGGAGGAGAGGCGGGGAGAGGCCCTTACCTCATGGTGGCTGGGCTGCAGTTCCGGGAGGTGCAGGTCCCTTCGGGCTTTCTCCTCAGCCCTCCGCTCCTTTGCGGCTGAGCGGCGGCGCGCGTGTGTGTGCGTGGGCGCGCGGGCGAGGTGACCGCAGCGCTAGGTCCGCGCGCGAGGGTGGACGTCTTTGTTAGAGGGCGGACAGGAGCGGGAAAGGCCAACGGGAAAGTGAATCTGATCCCCGACTAGGCGGAGTCCAGCTCCGGGAAACAGAAACTTCTGGAAGAGCTGAGTGGGGGCGCCTCCCCGGCCGGGCTGAGGAACCTCTGTGAGAGGTTTGCGCAGCGCGGGGACGTTCCGGGTGGAATTTGCAGCTGGGCCTTGAGACTTTGGTCTTGGCTGCTCAGCTGCCTTTTTAAGTCCACGTGCCTTAGCTCTTTGCGGGGTGGTTGTTATTTGTTGGATTTTTTCTTTTTCCCTTAGCTAAGATGATTGGAGATATTTCAGCGTTATTTTTGTTGGGTGGCACCAACGCTCTTTATGGCTTTGTGCATCCTAGGCCAAAACTCAAGTCTTTTTTTTTGTTTTATGAAATTAATTTATTATTTTACTTTACAAAATTGTGTTGGTTTTGCCATACATTGACTTGAATCCTCCATGGGTGTACATGTGTCCCCCATCCTGAACCCCCCTCCCACCTCCCTCCCCATCCCATCCCTCTGGGTCATCCCAGTGCACCAGCCCTGAGCACCCTGTCTCATGCATCCAACCTGGACTTGCGATTCCTTTCACATAGGATAATTTACATGTAAAACTCAAGTCTTGAGTCAAGAAACACAGGTGCAATGCCATGCACTTGTGCCGTGATTTTCACTGGGTAAACCTCGAGAAATTTGGGGGCCAAAACGTATATATATTCAAAATTTTGGTAGCTATTCCAGGTTCGCTTCGCAAAGAGGGTTTTACACCCACCCACAATTCTATGAAAATTCACTTCCCTTCCGTGCCCTTGACAACTGAGCTTCCTATAATAAGCTCCCATAATAATATAATACTAATCCTATAATAAGGTCCCATCTTTATGATGGGGTTGGCTTCCCCTGGTAGCTTAGATGGTAAAGAATCTGCCTTCAATACAGGAGACCTGGGTTCGATTCCTGGGTAGGGAGGATCCCTAGGCGAAGGGAATGGCAACTCACTCCAGTATTCTTGCCTGGAGAATCCCCATGGACAAAGGAGCCTGGCGGGCTATAGTCCATGGGGTCATCAAGAGTCGGCCATGACTGAGCCACAAACACACACACACACACACACACGCGCGCGCGCAAAGATGGGGTGGTTTGGAACCTAAGCAGAAAATATTGAACGCCCATACACTGCCCCCTTCAAATTCAGTCATTTGTTCTTTCAACACGTTTTATTAAACAACTACTAAGAGCTAGACATTGTTCAAGACCCTGTCAATATAGCAAGGAATAAGATAGACAAGGGACAAGCCCTCCAGCCTCCTCCCCCCACACACTGTCTTCTGCATTTTGTTCCTGATTATGCACAGGGTGGAGATAATTCTCAAACTTTGAGAAAAAGTGTTCATTATCACAGAGTTTAAAAGGCACAAGTTTATCACTTTCATGCCTTGGCAAAATGCCATGCTAGTCACTTTGTTTTTCAAATGAATGGACAACAGTTTTTTCTATGTGTCCATTAGTTTAAATAATGCTGACTTTGGCTTTGCAAGAAAAGGGAGTTTATATCTAAAGCCAGTTCTTGCTCCCTCAGGATTAAGTTAAGCATGGCTAACTAACAGTGTAGGTCCAGAACTGTAGTTAGCTGTGCATTTGTGATTTTGTTACACTTGTTTGTTTGGAGTTAGTTTCTAGTGTGAGAGGTGAAGGTAAAGAACAGATATAATATTTTATGTCAGATTGTGTTATGGAGAAAAAGCAGAGAGAGGGTTGGTGTTTTGCTGTTATAAAAATATTGGGGAGGAAAGGTTTGGGGTGGGGGAAGAAGTGAGCACTGTGGATATGGGGTCAGGGAAGAGCCTTTCAGCCTGGGGGAACAGTAACTGCAAAGGCCTAGAGATGGAAGCATACTTGGCATGCACAGATGGTGTGGTTGGAGTGGAGAAGGCAGGGAAGAAGTCCTAAGAAATGAGGTTGGGGAGGTAATGTGGATGTGGTGGGTCTGTAGGCTATGGTAACCTTTAAGTGGGAAACCACATTTTAGAAAAAGTACTGAATGGCTTATTTGGAGGTACAAAGATATGCCCAGAATTTCCTCCTTCCTGAGGATTTAGAATATTTAATAGAGCTCTGTTTGAAAAAGTTTCCAGTGTGTTGATTATGTTTTTTCTTCCTTATTCCTACTTCTTTCCTTTCTTTTAGCTGTAGCTGAGCCAAGAGATAGTCTTTGGGTTATTAAGTTTTAGTTGCTGTAAACAAAACTAAACAGTAAATGATAAAACAACTAAACAGTAAATGATAAAAGTCAAAAGGGGAAAAAATTCCTGATTACCCTTATATTGTTTAGGATTTCAGATTCAGAAAGACTAAAACTAATCTGTAAAAAATTTAAAGGAATAAGCATTTTCAGGATTGAGAAGAAGCAAAGACCCAGCTGTTGAGTAGGTGTTGAACATCCTGAATTTATTAGATGGAACTTGAATATCAGTATTTTTTTCATAACTTGTCGGACTGGGTGAATTCTTGGGAAAATTAGTAGTGTGTTGTCTTTTTAATTTATTCTTATCAACCTGTAAAACACAGCAAGGGGGAAAAAAGAGAAATGGAACATGAAAAATGGCAACTAATAGAAAATCTGCTTGGGAAACTGAAAATTTAATAACTCTTCCAAGGTACAGATCTAAGCTGGAGTTTCTCAACTTTGGTGCTATTGACATTTGGGTTGTGGGAAGCTGTGTAGTGCATTTTAGGATGTTTAAGCAGCAATCTTGCATCTATCCTCTAGATGTCAGTAGCACCCTGCAGTTATGACAAACGACCTTAACTCCAGAGATTGCCAAACCCAACTTTTTTTTTCTTTTTGCCTTCAGGGGCAAAAGCCTCCTCTTCTCTCTTCCCCACAGTTGAGAATCATGTAACACCCTCTTGTATATACCTAATTTATTTGAATTAGTCTTCACAGCCCAGGCTGCAAGAGATAGAAGATGGACTTTAGGTAGGAGAGGAAAAGCTGAAATCAGATCACAGAAAGTCAAGGGTGGTACTGGAGTCCAGGACGTGGCCCAGGTGAAAGAGTTGATATCCAGGGCAGTGTCAGAGAAGGCTTACTCCCTTAAGCACTGGCTCCGAAGTAGAGGTGGCTGGGTCTGACTGGGGACAAGATCCAGAGCTATGGACACAGACTGAGGGTGGGAAGTTCAAGCTGGGGCATGCTGTAGGGTGGAGGCTCTTAGTTCCTGTGCAGTTCCAGTTCTAGCAGCCTCAGGAGAATGGAGACATTGGAGGCCAGGATGGTCCCCAAGTAGGTGGATCCTGTGGTGGTGTGTAGACCTAGACTGGGGCACCTATAATAGTAGTGAATGGCCTCAGCTAAGGTTTGGCCTGATTTAGGGTACATGAGAGACATTCCCTGGGCACTCGGGGAATTCTAAATAAGGACAATGAATGATTGAGGTTCTGTAAGTCATTCACATGGGAGTAACAAGCTCCTGAAATTCAGCTATCAATTTAAAGACTTCTTGGTAATGCCTGGAGATACTCATTTGTAAATTGGGCAATAGTATTTACAATACCAGAGAGCATCTCTTTTCCTGGATTCACTGTTTTTCTGTGCAGACATCCAGGCTGTCCCACATTTTAGTTTTACTGAACTCTCGGAAGGGCAGAGATGTCTTCCAGAGTTGGGAAAGATGGGAGAGAGAGTTGTTTGGTTATTAAACACAATAAGTAAATGTGATCTTTAAAGCTTGTCAAACACACATCACACAAACACATTGCATAATCCAGAGATTTATTTTGCCTTAATGAGCTCTGCTTTTTGGGTACAGATGACGTATAACAATATTGGGGAAGAGTTACCTAATCAAGAATTGACACTTATCCAATAACTATTTGATTTTCATATTTCTGACCTGGGAGAGTTGGCAGTGGGTAGACTTATTTTAGTACCTTACAGCCTCCTTCCTCAAACACAAGCTCTTTAAGTTGTGTTTTTGTTAATCTAATAAACCTCTTGTTTTAGTGATGTGGAAATTGTGAAGACCACTTCTGTGTAGCTCTCATGCATGCTCCTGATACAAACCTTACTCACTTCAGTTCCTATAGAATTTCAGTAGAAATCCAAAGCCTTGTCCAGTATTTCTGTGAATTCCCTGGGGACTTGTCTTTTCTGTGGATTTAGGTTTCCACACCAGGAAACACAGGCATCCTCTAGAATGTGGAAAACATGCCAAAAGAATTGTCCCCTAGGGCCTCAGAAGGGATTTGGATGTGCCAACACCTTGATTTCAGGCCAGTGAAACCCATTTCAGGCTTCTAACCTCTAGAACTATAAGATAATACATGAGTGTGATTTTTTTTTCCATTTATTTTTATTAGTTGGAGGCTAATTACTTTACAGTATTGTAGTGTTTTTTGCCATACATTGACATGAATCAACCATGGATTTACATGTATTCCCCATCCCAATCCCCCCTCCCGCCTCCCTTCCCATCCCATCCCTCTGGATCTTCCCAGTGCACCAGCCCTGGGCACTTGTCTCATGCATCCAACCTGGGCTGGTGATCTGTTTCACATTTGATAATATACATGTTTCGATGCTGTTCTCTCTGAACATCCCACCCTTGCCTTCTCCCACAGAGTCCAAAAGTCTGTTCTGTACATTTCTGTCTCTTTTTGTGTTTTGCGTATAGGGTTATCGTTACAAAAATATGGCACGCTTCACGAATTTGCATGTCATCCTCGTGCAGGGGCCATGCTAATCTCTTTATCGTCCCAAGTTTAGTATATGTACTGCTGAAGCGAGCACATGAGTGTGATTTTAAGCCACCCATTTCATGGTAATTTATTAGAGAGCCACAATAGGAAATGCATATATCTTCCCCCCAAAGATGTACAAGAGTGAAAAAAAAAATGGCATTGTTTCCTTAACTTTCCTTTTAAAAATATTATTTGTTGGGCATTGTCTTTTAATAAAATGTTATAATCAAAGGTGATTGTTACAGATGGTCTCTCAGACTCTTTAGCATCCTTTTCCTATTTATTCATCTGACTAAATCAGTGCTAGCAAATGACTGAATCAATAGTGCTTCAAACAAAATGGCATAAAGCAATAGAAATTGCTTTGAACAATTTGACAATTAATTAAATTTCAAACATCTTCATGGAGAAAACTGACCTTTAATTGACTATGTACTTGTTTTCCTGTCTGTTTCACTAGATGGTAAGCTGCTTGAGGTTTGGGGGAAATGTCTGCTTTGTTAACTGAGGGGTAGCAGAATATGCCATCCCCAAATATGCCACCTTGTCATAAGGATTATTTTGAGCTGAAGGCAATTGAAAATAAGCATATATAAGAAAAACTCTCTGTTCTCCCCCATCTGCCTGAAGAAATAATGTCTCTTCTCTCTCTACCAGAAAGGACAGAAGTTAATCACCTGAGAGAGCTCTAGTCCCTAATCAGCCCAGAGACACTGACAGAAAGATATATGCAACAAATCTTATAAACAAACTCTTACCTTCCATTAGTTTCCCCCAGATATTTGCCTTCATACAATTTGCTACTTAGAAATTTGAAGTTCTTTGCTTTTGCCTTATCATTTTTCTAAAAATGTATCATTTGGTTGTTAGGATGCTGTATAAGCCCACATTCTAGTCACCCGTTTGAGTTACTCATCACTGGGTACTCATGTATATGCCTGATGCATGTGTTAATAAACTTGTTTTTCTCTTGTTAATCTGTCTTTTGTCAGTTTATTTTTTTTAATTTTTTTATTTATTTTTATTAGTTGGAGGCTAATTACTTTATCATATTGTAGTGGTTTTTGCCATACATTGACATGAATCAGCCATGGATTTACATGTGTTCCCCATCCTGAACTCCCCTCCCACCTCCCTCCCCATCCCATCCCTCTGGGTCTTCCCAGTGCACCAGCCCCGAGCACTTGTCTCATGCATCCAACCTGGACTGGCCATCTGTTTCACATTTGATAATATACATGTTTCGATGCTGTTTTCTCAGATCATCCCACCCTCACCTTCTCCCACAGAGTCCAAAAGTCTGTTCTATACATCTGTGTCTCTTTTTCTGTCTTGCATATAGGGTTATCATTACCGTCTTTCTAAATTCCATATATATGCATTAGTATACTGTATTGGTGTTTTATCTTTCTGGCTTACTTCACTCTGTATAATGGGCTTCAGTTTCATCCATCTTATTAGAACTGATTCAAATGTATTCTTTTTAATGGCTGAGTAATATTCCATTGTGTGTATGTACCACAACTTTCTTATCCATTCGTTTTTGTCAGTTTAATTTAAGGCTCTAGCCAATGAACCTAAGATGGGTAGAGGTAAAAGAACCTTCCCTTCTCTCCTTCACCCTAGTACTTTTGGTATCTAGCACTGAATTGAACATTTTATTTTATGTAAGTACAGTGTTGTTTTTTTTTTGCTATAAATCTACTCAACAAACTTTCTTTTCCCATTATATAACATTCACAGAGAAATGGTTCTTTCTCTTCTCTCTCTCTCACATATAGAGGCATGTATATTCTGTTTCACTATTTTATTTTATTTTTTAAAGACAATTCACTGTACACATTTTATTTATAGTTTTGTACACTGTCTTAATAGGAGTGGGACCACTTTTCTATTTGAGCCAATTTTTTTAACCAAAGTAAAATAACCTAAGTAATACAGAGTGTTAAAATACAGCATAAAGATACAAAAACAGACATACTAATTCTAATTAGGAATGTAATTATGATACTACATTTTTTATAATACACAATTAAGTTTAGGAAACCACACAAACATAGATCAGTGATTTGAATGAAAAGCATAAATTTGTAGCAAAGCATTGTAGTTAAGTTACAAAAAAATATTACCAAAGAATGCACAAAATTACTGTTTATTCCACCTTTATGTCATATTCCTAGATTCTTCACCAATGTTACATGAGAAAGAAAAACTAAAGCAAAACAAATGAAAAACTGAAATCAGAGTCACTAATGTTATCAAGTAGGGAAACAAAATCTAGCAGCCATCAGCAAGAGTACAGCATAGATAATGCTGTAAAAAGAAACAAAGAAAATTGCCAGAAAACTATGCATCATACTCTTTCAAAGCAGTAAAATATCCTCCCTCATACAATGGAAGGTAAACAAAATCATTCTCTTGTATAGAAATGCAAGTTCTTTTTTTTTTAATATTGTAGATGGGTCAAATGTTTTTGTAATGGTTAATTCTACCTAAGCTATTACAGAGTGGGCCAGGAACACATGTATGGATTCTGGGGATGATATGATGTGTACTGTAATACTTTGATTGGGATAATGGACACTCTAGCCAAAAAAAAGAAAATATGAATACAGAAGTACAAGACAAAGGCTAATGAGACTTCCTTATATCTTAGCAACGTTTAGATGGAACTCAAATTTAAATGCAGCCCATTCTGCTTTTGAAGAGGCTTTTGTTCAGCCTCCAAATCTCAATTGCTTGAGGCAGTCGCCTATGAGAATACTCAGAGTGTCTTCTTTTTTTGGGGAGGCGGCGGGGGTGGGGAGGAAATCAGGGCATTTTATTGGTGATGGCAACACACACCACGCCACGCTTAGGTGTGCGGGCGCCACAGGGCCGGAGCCCAGGCTTTGTGCTTTTCCTCGGGGTTCCCGGGGGAAAACTTCTCCACATGCCTTTATTCATCTGCTTAAACTCATCCAACGTATCTGTGGACAGGATCAGCTCGTACTCTTCCAGGGACAGGCCGCTGAAGCTTGTGTCTCTGGGGCGAGGGTACTTGTGTTTGTAGTAGTTGGAGTGCAGCCGTGCCAAGCTCTCGTACGTCTGATCACAGGCCTCAGGCTCTGCAATCTGGGTGTTGTCTCCCTCCCGAAAGGCCTGCGCTACCCGCTGCCGCAGATAAGCGCCCAAGTCCTGGCCCCGTTTGGTCTCGTCCACTGGCCATTCCTCACACAGCTTAAGAAACCGCCGGTAGCGGCTGGCCGCCATGTAAGGCCCCAGAGACTGTCTTCTTAAACAACAAACCAATTTTTAGTGGTGGAGCTGCTCTTAGTAGCTGTGTCTGCATGGGACTGATACCAAATCACTATCTTTGGAGGAAGTCCTAACCTTTCCTTGTATACCCTCCCGATAGGTGTAGCAGTTTCTCTTGTTTTCACATTCAGTAGTCCATATTGCTATTTTATCACCTTTCAGTTCAGTTGAGTCGCTTAGTTGTGTCCGACTCTTCGCGACGCCATGGACTGCAGCCCGCCAGGCCTCCCTGTCCATCACCAACTTGCAGAGTTTACTCAAACTCGTGTCCATGTCTTATCACCTTTAGCTCTAACATTACCGGCAGCTCCACATACATCATCACTGAAGTCATCAAAAGATTCTCCAATAAGGCACAGCAGTGTCTCTAGCCAAAAAATATCGAGGTCACTTCGTCTCTGCTGTTTGTTCAGTGTAATTAGCCATCGTCCTTATTGTTTGTTTTTCTCATCTTCCCACATAGGCTCAATACCATCCTTAAAAAGTGAGTAGTCACAGCCAGGCATTAAATTACTAGATAACTGGATATGGTTGTACAGAGCCCAAAAGTCTTCAACAGTATCAAACTTAGAGATCAATCGAAGGTTTGCTTGCCAAGTTTTGCTTTTATCATTTTTAAAAAACCAGAGTGCCCATCTGTTCTGTAAAGGGTGTTTATTTAACACCGTGTTCTGGGTTAGCAACCTCACTACCTTCTGTTATCTCTTCTTCTGTAGGCGGGGGATTAGGAGTAGGGGTGGTTTCCGGTTCCACAGTCACCATCTTGGATAGATCTGATCGCGCAACTGCTCCTGAAGGCTGTTTCACTATTTTCTGAATACAACTAATGTTTTATCAGGTTTGAGTAATTGGTCAAAGATTACATCATTGTGGTGGGTTACATAATGTGTTTCTGAAAGTCGCAAGCAGAAAAGATGATTAGTATATATTGTGGCAGTAGTCCGTATTTCAGTGCCTAGGGGTCACAGGCACAGACATCTCCAAGTCAGGAGCCAGCCTCAGGGCCTGCTCATAATACTCCAGGGCTTCATTAATTTCTCCTTTTACTTTGTGGATGAACCCAAGGATACTCAAGCTTTCTATATCTGATGCATTTCTCCGGAGTTTCTTTGAAGCCAATTTCATCAAAGAATTGATGCTTTTATCCTTATCTATTGATGCGTTTTCTATTTTTATTGCTTTTAAATAATGGCTAATTGCATCAACTTCAGACTTTTTGTGAAATTCCAGAAATCGGCCATAGTGGAAATGTATGTGTTGCAGCATTTCTTTGTCGAGTGATTTCATGCAGAGCACTTTTTGAAAAGTATCTTCAGCTTTTCTGTGGTTACCTGCTTCTGCATACATTTCTGCCAGGCTTGTATAAGCAAACTCAAATGTGGGCTTTAGTTGCACAGCATGTTCGAAATGTTCTATGGCTAGTGGTACTATTCTGTTGATGTTTTCTTTATCCTGTCCTTTAGGCTGACAGTTTGTAACTTTCTTTATTTCGATTATTTGTGACTTGTAGCAAAGCCCTGTCTGGTGATGCAGGAAAGCAGAGGAGGGGGTTTCCTTCAAGGCCAATTTTGAGAGCCGAAGAGCTTCATCCAGAACGCCTTTTCTTCGGTAAAACTTGGCAGCATACCGATAGACATAGGTCTTTGAGGATGCACTGGTCAGTGCTTCTTCGATGTACTTTTCTCCTTCAGCTTCTTGATCTACATCTTGAAGCTTCAGGCCAAGAAGAGCCTTAATGTATGCATTATTTGGATTTAGCCTGACTGCCTGTTTTAGGGTGTTCAGACAAAATTCGCCACTACTCTCTGGTGCTTTGTTAAAGCCATCCAGGCGATAGACAACGATTGCATACCCAGTGCTGAATTCAGGGTTTTCGGGGTCCGCTTCCAGAGCCTTTTCAAAGCAGACTTTGGCCCGTTCATAATTCTTTCCTCCACATTTCAGCAAGGCCCATCCTTCCTCACAGTCCATCTGAGGACACTCCGTTCTATAGCTGGAGGAATTCGTAAGTTTCCTGCAGGTGTTCTTCACCTTGTCCAGGTAAATCTGGGCTTCTGCCTGTTGGCCCATATGGTAATGCAACCAGGCGTAGTTGCCCCAGGTAACCATACTTCTCACTTCTGATTGGTTGGCATGTTCTGGCTGGGTTAAGTCTTCAGCTTCTTGTAAACTCTTCAGGGCTTCCTCATTCTGGCCTTTCAGGTGTTTCACATAGGCCAGTAAGTTGTGTATTCCCACCTTGTAGTTGGTGTCCAGGAATGTAATCTGCTCCCAGACCCTGTTTTCTAAATCCGGTATTTCTGTCTCTTCAATGATCAACTCCCATGTAAAGTGACATCTCAACTGTTCCAGCTTATCCTTGATCTGATCCTCATCAGCATTATAGCTGTAAAAACAAAAGCAGGCTTTGTTTGTTAGGTGACAAACAGCCAATAGAAATAAGCCAGGTAAAACACCTCATGTTTAGAGCCTAGCCTTGCAAAGGGCATGCCTGCTTTGAGCTTCCATCGAGTTCCTCTGTTTCTAAGATCCATGTGGCCTCTGAATGCAGTTTACTTGGCTCCATACCCTGACTCCAGCACTTTCTAGGCCATGAAACTTCTCTGTGCTTCAGAGTGAAGTGAAGTGAAGTCGCTCAGTCGTGTCCGACTCTTTGTGACCCCATGGACTGTAGCACAACAGGCTCCTCCGTCCATGGGATTTTCCAGGCAAGAGTACTGGAGTGGGTTGCCATTTCCTTCTCCAGGGGATCATCCCGACCCAGGGATCGAACCCAGGTCTCCTGCATTGTAGGCAGACGCTTTACCCTCTGAGCCACCAGGGACGTCTGTGCTTCAGAACCTCCTTTGTAAAGCACAGAAGATAAACTTACCACACTGGATTTGGTGAGAATTAATAGGCCTATCTATGTAAAATACTTAGAGCATGCATATTTCATTCTATATAAGAGTTTTCTATTTTCCTATTGCTGTAATAGGAAAGAGGTAGAAACAAGTAAGAAACGCAGAGCCTTAGGAAATATTATTGACCTTAGTCAGGACCTTAGTCTGCAGATTATGTAACAAATTAAGACTACCTAAATGTGATCATATTTGACCCATTTATTTTATTTGGATTTATTTATGGGAGATATTTATTTATTTATATATATTCATAGAAATTTGCAAAGATAGAACATAAGTCCAGTGTATCCTTCACCCAGTTTCTCCCAAAGATTATAGTTTATCCAACTACAGTACAACGCCAAAAGTAGGAAACTGGCAGTGGTACAATATGCACACAGTTCATTTTTTATTCCTACTAGTAATGTATGCTTCCCCGGGGGCTGCAATAGTAAAGAATTTGCTTGCAATGCTGGGGACCCAGGTTCAGTCCCTTGATTGGGAAGATCCCCTGGAGACGGAAATAGCAATCCACTGGTAGGCTACAGTCAGTGGGGTCGCAAAGAATCAGAAACAACTGAGTAACTAACACACATACAGAGTAATGTATGAGTGATCTAGTTCTTTGTATTCTTACCAGAATTTGATATTTCCACTTTTTTTTTTTAATGTTATTAGCTCTTTTAATAGGCATAGCGGTAGCTCTTTGTGGTCTTAATTTGCATTTCCCTAAGGGCTAGTGATGTTGAACATCATTTTGTGTGTTTATTTGCCATCTGTATATCCTCTTTGGTGAAATATCTCTTCATATCCTTTTCCTGTTTTCTAATGAGATTGTTTTTTATTGTTGGATTGCAAGAATTCTTTCTAGATTCTAGATATGAATCATTGGTGAGGCAGGCATGTGGTTTTCAAAGATTTTCTCGCAACATGTGACTTGTCTTTTTTTCCTTTAATAAGGTCTCTTGAAGAACAAAAGTTTTTTACTTTAAAAAAAAAAATTTTTTTTATCCTGCCAAACGGCATGTGGGCTCTTGGTTTCCTGACCAGGGATCAAACCCACACCTATTTCATTGGAAGCACAGAATCTTTTTCTTTCCTTTTTTTAAAAAAAAATTATTTACTTTTAATTGGATGATAATTGCTTTGCAATATTGTGTTGGTTTCTGCCATACGTCAACATGAATCAGCCATGGGTATACATATGTCCCCTCCCTCTAGAGCCTCCCTCCCACCTCCCACCCCACCCCTCTAGGTTGTCGTAGAGTACCAGATTTGAGCTCCTTGCATCATACAGCAAATTCCCACTGGTTACCTAGTTTTTTTTTCATTCTTTTCTTTAAAAATTATTTTTGAGACTTCCCTGGTGGTCCAGTGTCTAAGACTCTGAACTCCCAATGCAGGGGTCCTGGGTTTGATCACTGGTCAGGGAGCTATATCCCATATGTGGTTTACATTCCACATGTAAAGCTCTGTCATGATACAACCAAGACCTGGTGCAGCCAACTAAATAAATTAATTAAAAATTCTTTTTAATTAAAGGAAAAATTGCTTTACAGTATTGTATTGGTTTCCGCTATATGTCAACATGAATCAGCCATAGGTGTATATGTATGTCGCCTCCCTCCTGAATCTTGCATCTCCCACCTCATCCCACCCCTCTGTGTTGTCTGGGTCTGAGCTCCCTAGTCACACAGCAAATTCCCACCATCTGTTTTACATATGGTAATGTATATGTTTCAGTGCTACTCTCTCAATTTTAAGTGCCGAGTCTTAACCACTGGACCACCAGGGAAGTTCCCAAAGTTTCTACTTTTGATGAGGTATAATTTATTGATTTTTTTTTCTCTTAATGGATCATGTGTTTGGTATCACGTCTAAGAACTCTTCACCAGGCCCTAAGTCCTGAAAGTTTTCTCCTTTGTTTTCTTCTACAAGTTCTATCATTTTACATTTAAATCTGTGATCCATTTTGAGTTGCTTTTGCATAATGTATGGAGATTAGGTCAGTGACTCATTTTTCAGCCTATGGATACCCAGTTGCTTCAGCAAGATTTGTTGAAGCCTGTTCATCCTCCATTGAATTGCATTTGCAACTTTGTCAAAAATCAGTTGGCTGTTCTTGTGTAGGATTATTTCTGGGTTCCTTACTCTGTTCCACTGATCTCTGTGTTTATTCTTCCACCAATACCATACCATCTTGTTTACTGTATATAAACAGTCTGAAAATTGGGTAGGGTGATTCCTCTCTATTCTTTTTTTCAAAATTGTTTTTATAATTCCTTTGCATTTCCATATAAATTTTAGATTAATATTTCCTGTGTCTATAAAAGTCTTGCTGGAGTTTGATAGGAGTGTTTTTGTCAGTTGTGGAAAATAGACATGTTTACTATGTTGAATCTTCTAATCCGTGAATATACTGTATCTGCTTATGTAGATATTCTTTGATTTCTTTCATTAGCATTTGTAGTTTTAGGCATTCAAGTCCTATGCATGTTATGTTAGGTTTACACTTAAGTACACGTATGTGTGAAGTGAGTTGGGGAGAGTGGCCTTATTACCTCTTTATGGTGGTGAAAATCCTGAACTCCACTAGCCCTCTCTGTTGCCATCTCAGTGGGGAGTGGGAAGGCACCTCATAACCCCCAGGTGGGGGCTGATATCCACATTGCTTTTATGGTCTTCCCTCCCCCACTGCAAAGAGAGGGGCCCTGTTACCACCCAAGTGGGGATGAAAGTCTTTGCATTCCGCTTGGCCTTCTTTGGCATCATCCATCAGGGGTGGGAGCAGGAGAGAGTCCAGCTCCCTCTCTCCCAGCTCATAGCCTGGTGAGAGTTTGGAACGGGGCCTTAGTTTCTGTTTGACTTTTCCTGTGGTATTTGGCTGGAGTAGCGGTTGTTTACAAATTTTTTGTTTTGCTAGGCTGTCTCCTTTTTGGGTCCTTTGGCTAGAGAGAGCAGGTTTTTCGTGGGACTTTTCTATTTATGCCTACTGGCATTTCTAGGTTTCTGGCTTCTCCAGCACTCAGTCTGGGATATATGCAGAAAAGAGGAATACCCATATACAAAAGATTGAAGTTGGACCTGTTCCTATACTGTATACAAAAGAGGAATTCAAAATGTGTCAAAGATCTAGATGTAACACCTAAAACTATAAAAATCTAGAAACGAAAGAGGGAAAAAAAGCTCCATGACATTGAATTTAACAACAGTTTCTTGGATATGCTAAAAACAAAGGTAACAAAAGTAAAAATAAACAAGTTGAGCTTTAGCAAAACTAAAAAGTTTTATGCATCAAAGGGCACTATCAATAGAATGAAAAGACATCCCACAGAATGGGAGAAAATGTTTGTAAATCATGTACCTGATAAGGGATTAATATTTAGACAAATAAGCAGCTCCTACAACTCAACAACAGAAAAACAAATAACTGATTAAAAGAATGGGCAAAGGACTTGAATAGACACTTCCCTAAAGAAAATATACAGATGGCCAGTAAGTACATGAAAAGATGTTCAACATCACCAATCATTAATGAAATGCAAATCAAAACCATAATAAAATACCTCTACACATCCATTAGGATGGCTATTATCAAAAACACAGAAAATACCAAATGTCAAGGATGTGGAGAAATTAGAACCCTTGTGCATTGCTAGGGAGAATGTAAAATGGGGCAGCTGCTGTGGAAAATGATGATTCCTCAAAAAATTAAATATAGAATTACCATATAATTCAGCAATTCCACTTCTGGTAGATACCCAAAATAAATGAAAGCAAAGACTTGAATAGATATTTGTATACTTATACTTACAGCAGCATTATTCACAGTAGTCAAAAGGTGGGGGAAAAAAAGGTGGGAGAAACCCAAGTGTCCTCCAGTGGATGAATGGATAAACAAAATGTAGTTAGTACATACAATGGAATATTATTCAGTTTTAAAATGGAAATATATTCTGACACATGCTTCAGTATGGATGAACCTTGAAGGCTTTATATTAAGTTAAATAAGTCAGTCACAAAAGGCCATGTGTTGTATGCTTCCATATATATGAAATATCCACAATAGACAAATCTATAGAGACAGAAAGCAGATTAATGGTTACCAGGTCCTGGAATGAAGGATGAGAGGTGAGTGACTGCTCAGAGCGACAAAATTTTCTTAAACTAGACAGTGGTGAGGGTTGCACTACATTGTTGTACTAAATACTACAAAATTGTATACCTAAAGTAGTTAAAGTTATAGTTCTTCCAGTAGTCATGTATGATTGTGACAGTTGGACTATAAAAAAAGCTGAGCAGTGAAGAATTGATGCTTTTGAACTGTGGTGTTGGAGAAGACTCTTGAGAGTTCCTTGGACTGCAAGGAGATCAAACCAGTCAATTGTGAAGAAAATCAGTCCTGAATATTCGTTGGAAGGACTGATGCTGAAGCTGAAACTCCAATACTTTGGCCACCTGATGCGGAGAACTGACTCATTGGAAAAGACCCTGATGCTGGGAAAGATTGAAGGCAGGAGGAGAAAGGGATAACAGAGGATGAGATGGTTGGATGGCATCACCGACTTGATGGCCATGAGTTTGAACAAGCTCCAGGAGTTGGTGATGGACAGGGAAGCCTGGCATGCTGCAGTCCTTGGGGTCGCAGAGTCGGACATGACTGAGCGACTGAACTGAACTGAACTGAAAATAGTTAAAGTGGTAAATTTTATCATACATGTATTTTATCACTATAAAAATTCATATTACTAGCCTGAGTAGAAATTCTGCAAATTATATATTTATATATGCATGCGTGCATGCTAAGTTGCTTCAGTTGTGTCTGACTCTTTGCAACCCCATGGACTGTAGCCCACCAGGCCTCTCTATCCATGGGGTTCTCCAGGCAAAAATACTGGAGTGCGTTGCCATATCCTCCTCCAGGGGATCTTCCTTTAAAATATAAAAGCTAATTACTATGCCATCTGAAATGATCTCATGAACCTCCATTGGTACCTTTTAAGAAACATTTGTTTAAAGATTAAATAAGGTATCATTGAATAGAGACTCTGGTTCATGTCTAGCTCTATCACTTATTATCTATGTAGTCTTAACATTTCTTAATTTAAAAATTCATTATTGGCAAAAATAAGTATAATATGAGTACTGGCCTCATAAGTTTCTTTTGTAAATGTAATAATTTACATAATAGTTTGGAAGCCAGGCTGGCACTTGATAAGCAATCAGGACATGATATCTACTTTTCTATTATTATGATGATAATTTTTGTTGCTGTTGTCATTATTTTCATATCAGTGATAATCCACTCTTATTTGTCTCTGAACCAAAGGAGGGAGAAAGGGTTGACAATAGGTCTGTAATTATGCGTTTTCTGAAACTGTTGCTCCTTCAAAGTTTCGTACACTGAAACACTGAGGGCGAATTTGCTGGCCAATATTAATGTTTTTTTTTGATCTGATAAGATCCAGGGTTCTTTGAATCAAGATTCAGTTTAGATAATACAGTTTACATTAGGCCCTTTAGCTAAGAAAGATGTGGGAGTTCCCAAGCACAGAACTCTAGCCAAGCCCAGAACTCTAGCCAAGCCCTGTGGACAGGAGGCTGTCAAGGATTTGCAGACCACCTGGCTTCCCCAGAGGACAGTTGACCTGCTAATCTTAGAGCCAGTCGGATTGATAAAGCCTGACATAGGAACCCAGCAGTGCAGATGGTGAGACCAGATGCCAGCAGACAAAGGCCTGTTCTCTAAGCAGTGAGCATCTCTCCCTCATCCACCACAGTACTTCTCTCAAGACAGCTGAGAGACCTCACTGCTGTGGCTCACGCAGCTGTGTGCATTCTGCTTTTTTCCTCCTGCCAAGGAGCCAGAAAGCAACATCTGTACCCAGATTAACTGTCCACTCCCTCCCTAGGTCAGACAGAAGTGAGGTTGGTGGAAAATTGTTTCAGAGACTGGGATTGTTTTCTCCCTTCCTCCCTTCCCATTTCCCTCCCTTTCTTTGGGTTTCAGCATCTTCCTCAGGGAGATGCTAACAAAAAAGAAAAATGAATTGATAAAACAGTTTATGGGTATATATGAATATGCATGTGTGTGAGTGCACACTCACATCCACATTCATTCCAAAGCAGATGGTCAAATAGAGAAATAAGGAAATGGCATCACTGAGACTGAGTCCGTTGGTATAAAATAGTTAACGTTTTTTCCAGAAACTTTATACAGAAAGGCAGAGAAATCCTTACCTCATGGTTGCTGTGAATTAGGCAGCAGTTGTACAAAGTTTTGTCTAGCTGGATGGTCTCCTCGGAGGTCGGTTCTGTCTGTTTTATGGATTTTCAGATAAATTTATACCCCAGGGCAGGGTTATATAAGGGAGATGAACAGCAGCTAATGATGTAACTTGTGGGTGTGTTTTTGCTATGAGAAGTTGGAAACCGAAAGTAGAAAGTGAAATTAAAGTAGGCAGAATTGCAGAAAATGAAACTTAAACAGCTGCTTTGCTTTCTTTGTTCTGTTTTGAAAATGGATTGAGAAAAGGCTGGTGGAAAGCAGTTTTTTTGACATGCTGATTCCTCTCTTTGGGAAATTAGCAAGCTCTGGGAGGAAGTCCCCTCCAGATGGTGAAGGACAGGGAAGCCTGGGGCGCTACAGTCGATGGGCTCCCAAGGAGTCGGACATGACTGAGCAACTGAACGACAACAAATTCCTCTCTCAGACTTTGTAAGGCCTTTTAGAAATCCAGGAACTAAGAGATGCCAGTAATGTAGAGTCCACTGAACCTATAGCCAGAGAGTCCTGTGAGAATTGGCTCTGTGAACTTGCCAAAGTCATGCCCTCAAACTGTGCCTTTGTTTGCTCATCTGGAAACAGACATTGTTCTTTATATGGTATAAAATTCTGCAAGTCAGTAAACCAGAGCCTTAACTCAAATTCATTCCTATTCTCTGAGAGGATCAGTCTTAACTATTTATTTTGTGCCTTTGCATACCCTTCTTTCTGGAGAATGATCAGTGATAAAAGAGTCCTAAAACTCCTTCTTTATTCATGGGAACCAAGAAAATCTAACTGCTAGAATCTTGAGACTTCAAATAAAACATGTTGGGCCTGAATGAAAATATTTCCTTCTTTGTAATGCTCTCTGTTGTAGCCATCTAAAGTGTTCATATTCACTGGACATGATTATCGTATCTATGTAAGAGTATTATCCTCTTAGTGCCCATGGCATCCACGTTTGGCCTACCTCAACCTGGCCTGTGTAATCTTATATAGTCATGGTGCTTGTGGTGAGAGGTTGAGAAGAGTAAGTGCTGATATAATGGAAAAACCCGAATGAATTTTTGGACAGCCCAGTACTTAGCAACTACTTGGCACATAAAAGCTTGCAAATAAAAGGTGACTATTGATGATGATGGTAATAATAATAGTAATAGTCGTGGTATTTTCTGTCATCAAGTTTAAATAGTGCTTTCTTTAAAAAAAAACCCAAAAAACCTATATTCTTTCTTTTAAATAAGAATCAGAAAAGGAGGAGCTGTAAGAAAGTGTTCCTCTTAGGAACACTTAAACACACTGCCAAATCCAAACTGTTCTGCTTAATCCCTCCTACCTAGCTCATCTGCCATGTCATCCTGAACTAGTTAAAAAGTTCTACACAAATGAAAATTTCTGAATAAATTGTATTCTAATAAATGTTCAGGCGATAAGCAGATGCCAAGATAAATTAATTAGAGAGCCAACCTCTCTTTGCAGGGAAGTGAGGTGTCTTTGGAATTCTTGTGAAGAAAAGCAGTTGGGTTTGTAATTTTCCAGTGCACTAGATAGAGCGCAGAGAAGCACACAAAACGTTTATCGTGCCCTTGCCATGAATTTGGCAGCAGTCCTGGGTCTATGGGACTGTGGCTTGGACTCATTAGATATTTGGAATCTTGCCCAGTGTCTCTGTGGAATAAACAGACCTTGGAGCAACACAAGATAGAGCTGTAGAGAAGAAAACAGCCTCCAAAAAAGTCTGTGTATGTGTGTGTCCAAAAGTGCACTTACAGCTAGGAAGAGAAAACAGGAACTGGAGAAAACGAGACTTACAGAAATGAGATTTCAGCACTGCGCTGTAAGTCCATTCCCAGGAGTATAGGGTCAGCTGGCTCCCTGAGTGACTGGCCAGCTGTGGTAAACTACTTCGTCTCTATGAGCCTCAGTTTCCTCAACTGATGCGAAAGTGATTGGGAATAGATTATTGAATTTCGATCATCATAGCACACTAGCATCATCTCGGGAGGCTTCAGAATAATGCTAATTTGGCCCCACCTGGGACCAGTTGAATACATCCCTGGGAATGCCCCCCTCCGCATCTCAGTATTAAAAGGAAATGCCCAGGTGATTTTTGATGTACACCTGGGCTGGAACAAGGTCCTGTTGTCCATTGTATGACAGAAATTCTCTGAGTGAGGTGGGACTCGGTCCCTGAACCTCCTTCCCTTTCTGTGAGGCCCAGTTTCTGTCTCTTAGCGCTCTGTGCCTTGGTTCCCCTGCACAGTGGGCAGTGAAGGCCTCCGTTTCCTCCTGAGTCACAGGATGGCATGGAAAAAGAATGTAATTCTGAATGTTTTGACCTCTACTAGAGGGAAACGGGGAAAAGGCAGTGGCATCCCACTCCAGTACTCTTGCCTGGAAAATCCCATAGATGGAGGAGCCTGGTGGGCTACAGTCCATGGGGTCGCTAAGAGTCGACTCCATGCTCACGACTGAGCAACTTCACTTCCACTTTTCACTTTCATGTATTGGAGAAGGAAATGGCAACCCACTCCACTGTTCTTGCCTGGAGAATCCCAGGGACGGGGGAGCCTGGTGGGCTGCCGTCTGTGGGGTCGCACAGAGTTGGACACGACTGAAGTGACTTAGCAGCAGCAGCATCAGAGGGAAATGGGGATGGGAGAGGGCAAAATGGTTAAGGGGGTCAACTCTGTGGTGACAGGTGGAAACTAAACATTTGGTGGTTAGCACACTGTAGTGTGTACAGAAGTTGAAATATAGTGTTGTACATATAAAACTTATATAATGTGATAAACCAACAAAAAAGTATGTTGCTGGCTTTTGAGATTATTTCTAAATACTTCCCCTCACATCCATGGTGAAGAACTCAGAGACATCAGAAGTCTTTTGTTGTGAATGTTCTGATGATTTTCACATACTTCTCATGGGTTTTTAGGGGTCCCCTCAGCCCACTTTGACCCACAGTTTGGCTTGTTGCAACACAGTCAAGTACAAACTGAACTTGTATCATTTCCTCCTTTACATTTCAGGCTTCTCTTGAAATAGACTCACAGGAAGTTATAAGAAGAGTCTTGAGTCACGAGCCCCTGACCCCCTCTCCCCCCCAATAGCAGCATCTTGTGTAACTGTAGTACAGTATCAAAACCAGGAAAATGATATTGGTACTGTGTGTATATTTTAAAGAGGGAGGTACCATCACGGACGATGCTCCTGAAAGTTACTTTGGGAAGTCTCAGAAAACTACATGGGGGTCTGTTAGAAGCCTAGCTCGGTATCCTTTGTTAAGTTTGAAAGTTAGTCCGTCAGTCATGTCCGACTCTTTGTGACCCCATGGACTGTAGCCTGCCAGGCTCCTCTGTCCGTGGAATTCTCCAGGCAAGATACTGGAGTGGGTTGTCATTCCCTTCAGGTGATCTTCCCAACCCAGGGATCAAACCCAGGCCTCCCACAGATTCTTTACCATTTGAACTACCCGGAAAGCCCCGTGTATATTTTAAAGATAAAATGTATTGTGATTTCATCTTACAAATTCAGATTTACCAAAATTTTACCTAACCTAATTGATCCTACATCTCTGTTTCTTTTCTCCTGAATTGACTATCTTGTTTCTAAGTGATCCCAGTGTACATATGTTCTATTCCATTATACACTAAGAAGTCGCAGAATAACAGAACAGTTAAAAATGACTGCTTATTTGCTGTTCTTTTGTCCACAATATATATCCTTTTAAAAAGTTGAATTACAATGTGTTAAAAAAATCACTTGGAATACTTCTCTATGTGGTTTTAGCCTTTATCCCATACACACACACACACACACACACACACACAGGTTCATTTTCCTTGTTTTGATTTACTTTCTTCTTTTTTTTTACTTTTTTATTCTAACATTTTATTATGAACATCATTAAACATAGAGTTCAGAGAATTTTCCAACAAATGCTAACGTACTCACCACCTAGATTCTACAGTTAACATTTTACTATGTTTGCTTTGTCACATTTTAGCCATCAACTTCTGGATCTACCCATCGGTTTATCTTATTTTGTTGCTGTTGTTGTGTAAGAAGATAATCAGTATGATTAATCGATAAAACATTTCAACATATGTATTGTTTTAACTTAGTCAGACCTTGTTTACAAGGAAAAGATGGTATGCCTGCTCCAGTCGTTTTCTTCTGTCTAGATCTAATAAATCTGCTCTGTTTAGTATCCACAAAGTTGAAACGGTGTTACTTGTGTGTTCTTTAGGTGTCATCTGAATGACCCACCCAGACTCCTTCACCCTCTGCCACTGGACAATTCCAGCGCTCAGGAATCAAGATAGCATGACAACCTTTTAATTCCATGGGCCTATAGAAGTAAACCCCGCCCTGCCCCACAATATTTTTTAAAAATTCTTGGTAAGGTTTATATTCCCTTGGCTTCCTTGCCTCACACCTTCTACTACTGCATAAGTTACCTCTGTGTTTTTCTGAAATGAAAAAAAAATGTTAGCTGCCCTGTCGTGTCCAACTCTTTGTGACCCCATGGACTGTAGTCTGCCAGGCTTCTCTACCCATGGGATTCTCCAGGCAAGATTACTAGAGTGGGTAGCCATGCCCTCCTCCAGGGGATCTTCCTGACCCGGGGATTGAGCCCTGGTCTCCTGTGTTGCGGTCTGATTCTTTACCACCTGAGCCACGAGGGAAGCCTGAGATTTTTTTTTTTACCTCCACTCAAACATAGACTATACAAAAAACATAGAATCTGAATTTCAGCCTTCAGTGGCCCTACAGAACTTCAAATGCACACCTGCCTTACAGGGCTGCCCTGCCAACCTGCCAGAAGAGAATCCTTGCTCTTATACATAGTGATTCATCAACATGTGTCATCTTTCAACTGTTCTTGCCTCATGCTTGGGGAAGACTATGGAGCAGAGTGTCATCACAGAGGTATCCTCACTGTCTGAGACAGGAATGCAGGGAATTTAAAGCCTT